CGCGCCGCCGACAGGAAGCTGCGGCGACAAGCTTGGATGTAGATCTATGTACAACTTTATACTAGGGTATAACCAGCAGCTGTAGCCAAATGCCATTTAACGCTTGTCTACATGTAGAATAGAAAACCAAATTATATGGAATTGACGTAAATTTTGACACTTGTCAGTGTTATCCGCATACATTTTGATTTCTACTCTCTCTGTAGACAAGCGCTAAAGTGGCGTTTGGCTAAAGGCCCTGGGAGTCTTCAAGGCCCGAGTGAATAGGTTGCTTGTGGGACGACGTGCTCCATCGTAGACGGCATTATCGCTTACCAACAGGCGAGATAGTGTCAAAAGTTGGCCTATCAAATATAAAAAAAAATACAATTCATCTATTTACTACACTTCGGAGCCAAGAAGCGGAGCCATTGTCGTTTTTATTCTTCATTTTATCGCATCCTCTATAATTTAAAGAAAAAGAGCGTTTTCGTTTTTAAAAAGCCGGCAATGCACCTGTGACTCTTCTAATGTTGCGAGTGTCCATGGGCGGCGCTAATTGCTTACCATCAGGTGATCCGTCTGCTCGTTAGCCTCCTATTCCATAAACAAAACTTAAAACAAAAATATTCGGCAACGCACCTGTGTTTCTTCTGGTGTTCCGGGTGTCCATGGGCGGCGCTGATCGCTTACCATCAGGTGATCCATCTGCTCGTTAGCCTCCTATGCCATAAAAAAAACTTAAAACAAAAATATTCCTTTTACAACAAAATGATATCATTTAAAACTAACGCCCAAATACTGAAAGGCTTCCCAATTTTTAGATTTACTGAAATATCGTGCCATCTCTGTCATTTTACAAAGAAATTAGCCTACCTGTAGCCAAATGCCATTTAGCGCTTGTCTACATGTAGAATAGAAAACCAAATTATATGGAATTGACGTAAATTTTGACACTTGTCCGTGTCATCCCCATACATTTAGTTTTCTACTCCCACGGTAGACAAGCGCCACTTTAGGCACAGAAAAGACAGTAAGCGCGACTTAAAATTGAGTAGGCTTTCAGTATTCCGGCGTAAATTGTATTTTATACGACCTACGTACGTTACCAATTAATAAAATATTTGTATGAGAGAATATTTATCAAGAAATGAAAATGAGAAAACGATAGTGGCTCCGTTTCGTTGTTCGCAAGTGTATGTGCAGCTGAGGAATTTATTTATTAGTAAAATATTTTCAATTTTATAGTTTTGCACTTTGTATACCTCGTGTTAACTTGAGATGTCACACTCTGTTGTTCAATAGCATGGGAAAGATATTGAAATATTAACTGCCCAGTTCCCAAGCGGTCACTGATGACCGCTCTCCACTTACTCCATTATAGACCTTATTTCCAATATTTAGAGTCTACTTTTGTATAAACAAATGTTGTGGATTTTTTCATAATCGGGGATTAAGATTATTTTTATTTGATTGTTAAGAAAAGATTGTTGTTAAAAAGAAGATGATAAAATTAAAAAGTGAAAGTAGTACATTCCATTAGTATTGGGCCCAGTCTGTGTGATTCCTGGAATTCAACGAATGGTAGCGGCACGTAAGCAAGGTGTAGTTTACAATGTGAGTGAGTGAAATAGGTATATGAGAGAGGGAGACAGCACACATTGTTATCAGTAATTTTTGGCCATTGTTTTAAAATTCACTTTTCCCACGCTCACGAGTGCCGTGTAGGGGATGAGCCTATTGTCTTTATATTCAAACACCGTACAATTAGACTGGAGCCGAAGCCTTGAAAAATGGTAATAAGTAAAAAAAATACAGTTGGATGAAACCCATTAGAAAAAAATTATGTGAAAAAATTCAGAATACAAAAATTGTAGATCTTTTTATTACCTAGGTACAACTTCGCCATTAAATGTTTTCCATGGGACTTGTAGTTCTGCCAAGATAAACCATTTTAACCCTTAAGAGCTTATCCCCTCCCACTTCCCAATCTCGAATCGACCGTAATTTATTTTTCTTTTCATTTTTATCATATTCCCTTCCTTTTCTAATGGGTTTCATTCTACTGTAATTATTATTAGTTTCAAAAATTATCGACACTGGTCTAAATACGTAGAATTAAAACAATTAAATGTGAAAGTCGTAGAATAGAAATAATTCATTCAAATATAGATATGGCCTTCTTTTGACCGCGGCTTGGTACGTTTTAAATTCGGAGTACACCTAAACCTTCGTGAATCATCATTCGTGAGACATACTAAATTAATTATTATGTTTTCGGCTTACTCAAGTAATTATTTGACGAGGAACTCGACTAGTTTCCAGCCATGCTAGAGGCTCATATTCATGAGCCTCATTGGATCGGAATTGATTATCAATTTCGACTATAGATAGATTTTTTAGCTAGGGACAAAACTCGAGATCCAAACGGCAATGGATTTTAACATTTACACTTATTTGTTGTGTAGCAAATGTACAAATATAAAAGATTTTAAATTGTGTATGTACGTGGAAAAGTTTTAAATTATGTTAATGGAATTATTGTGTGAATACCATACATAGACAATGTAATTATATTTATGACAATAAAGATTGACCGTTAAATAAAACCACGTCTTTTGTTTCTTGAAGGAGTGGGCGGAAGAGTACATAAAGATATACAAGGTGTCGTTTTGAAACCGTGGCATTCTCGGGGGCATGTCACAGAGGTCATAAAGGTTCAATGTAAGAGAAAGTTTCGGGCCAATAGTTAAAAATACGGCTATAATAAATCGTTTAAGTTCGACAGTATTTCTGAATAATCGACAGCCATGTTTCTTATTGGAGTTTTATGGAATTAGGAATAATATCAATTACGTGTTTGAGTTTGTGTGTGTTGAGCCGCGAAATAAAGCTTACGGATTTCCGTAATTTACAAAAAATTAAAAATATTTACCTATATTTTTTTTTATTGATTCGGCCTCTGAATCGATAGCCGAGTTACCTCCTAGAAAATGACGCGGATTTAAAACAACATCTTGTATAATTATTATTCAAACGGACGTCGCGGTAGGAGATGGCGGGATGAACTGGACGCCAATGAAAAGGATTGGCCACAGAAAGTTATAAGAAGAGACGAGTGGAAGGAGGGTAGGGAGGCCTGTGCTTTGCAGTGGGATGACCATGGCTAAAAATACATATTAAATAGTTAAAAAAAATAGTTATACAATACTCGGGCCTTGAAGACACCCAGGTTATACTCTTCAGGAAACAGACTGGCAAAAAATTCCACTCCTTAGCAGTACGCATAAGAAAGCTTAAAGCGAAGCGCTTCGTGCGAGTGGGTGGGATATCCACCATGAAGCGGTAGCGCTTCGCCGATTATGTTATGGTACGGTGACGGAATGGACAGCGTAGTGAAGGGAATCAAGTTGTGCTATTCAATAATCAGAAAATATAAAAGGTTAAAACGTGTCTCGAGGCGCAAGGGGTGGAAAGCCTGGGATATGGGCCTCGCGGTCAGGACCTTACACGTTCGCCTCGTGTTCGCAAATGCTCAGACACAACTTACACAATATGCCGACTGTAACCACATGCCTGCTCAGATCAGAGGATTGCGTGTTCATATCACGCAGTTCATTTTATCAAGGTTTAGTAAATTCAAGTGAATACTCATTGTGATATTCATTTCACTGATGGACTTCCAGTTAATTGGAGGTCAATACAGAGAACAGTGTGGCTATAACATAAGTTATATAGGTCATTAAGACAACATCAAGCAACTGCTGCCGTGCAACATGTCACGGGTTCGATTCCCACATGGAACAACTCTTTGAGTAATCCACATAATAATATTGTTATTTTGGATCTGTGTGTCATGTATATGTGAATATGTATGTTTCTAAACATACCCACGACACAGCAGAAAATCTTGTGGGACAACGTTTAAAAAAATAAACAATGTTTTTACATTGTCATCAAGCAACGCCGTAGTATACTAGTGCTACATTTCGCTATGCCGTAGTATACTGGACTGCTACGTTTGCTACGCCATATTACACGGCTACACTGTGCTACGTTAGACTACGCCATACCAAAATTAAATTAAAATAATTGATTTCTTTTAGAATAGTAAATAGTTCTAGGAACATTTTCTTATTTTCACAATATGTAATTAACGTTACACAAAGAGTTGTTCCGTGTGGGAATCGAACCCGTGACCTGTTGCACGGCAGCAGTTGCTTGATGTTGTCTTAATGACATATAAAACTTATGTTATAGCCACACTGTTCTCTGTATTGACCTCCAACTAACTGGAAGTCCATCAGTGAAATGAATATCACAATGAGTATTCACTTGAATTTACTAAACTTTGATAAATTGAACTGCGTGATATGAACACGCGGTCCTCTGCTCTGAGCAGGCACGTGGTCACAGTGGGAATATTGTGTAAGTTGTGTCTGAGCATTTGCAAACACGAGGCGAACGTGTAAGGTCCTATAGACCGCGAGGCCCATATCCCCCACGCTTTCCACCCCTTGCGCCTCGAGACACGTTTTAACCTTTTATATTTTCTGATTATTGAATAGCACAACTTGATTCCCTTCGCAACGCTATGGTATAACTCGCGCTTGGTGTCGGGAGAGATGAGCTCGTGGCGCTACAGGGAGTCGGGCAGGTATGTTTGCACCTCGTCTCGACGCACATACTGGATCTGACAAAACATCAAAAGTTATTTACTGCTGACAAACTTATAGCAGAAGAAACTTATATGGGAGACTCTCAAAAGCATAAATACATATATTAAAACACTATTTTAATTAGGGGACCAATTGCTACAAAGTTTAGAAGTAATAAATTACCTGTATAGCCATGCCGTCCTGAAGCATGTTTGTTTTCCTCCCGATATTGTTGACGTTCTCTGTGACACGTCATGTGCCAACATAGACAGAGGTCTTCTGGAACTCCAACCCGATGAACCACATCGAGCAGCAGTTGGCTGGGGCCTGCCCAGTGGTTGCACTAACGGGTGCACAATTGTATCACTTTGGGTGCACCCGCGCTAATGCCACTGGTTCGTCCTGTTGAAGTAATTCTGTAACAAATATACACCGTTAGATATATTGCCGTTAGGAGGCCTTGAGCTTACTTTCCGAAACTAAGTAAAATATATTAGTAGAATTATAGTGAATGTAGCCACGGAAGGCCTAAAGGAGCGTTGGAAGGCCTAAAGGAGGCGCGCAAGGCCTAACAGTTTGCCGGGGCTCGAAGAGCAGGAGTAGGAACGGGGTGGTTTTTAGTCAGTAAGTGCCTGACACTCCTTCTCGCCAACCCAAGGGGGGAGAAGTCAATGGATGATTTACCCCCTAAAAAAAGACTTATAGTGAATACTGACCGACTAGATGTTGAATCCGCTCTTAACGAGCCCGCACCACTTCAGCTGGTCGTCCTGGCTGGCGGAGGAGGCCAGCACTACCGCATTTTTTTTAAAAATGCGGCCTTCTCGAACACTCGCTGCCACCCACACCTGCCCTTTATTATCTCTTCAGTGGTGGCCAGACCTTTGCACAAATACAATATTCATTTGAAATACTTTCGTAGAATTACACAACGAAGGCAATATTTCATTTGATTTCAAACTTAATGTCATTTGTATCTTACAAATGACATTAAGTTTGAAATGTTACTTGTTGAATGATGTACTCACCAATCTTAAGTTCTTCTACCATGACGGAACTGGTGGAAACGGTCACGTTAAACATGGAAGTTTGGAGAAGATAAGCAGGAGTGATGATGGGCATCACGTGGTCTCGTTCCGCCTCAATTATATTAAATCATTTAACAATTTTCTGTGAAAATTAATAAAACACAGAGTGCACAATTTTATTAAAACTATAAATTGCAAAATTTTCGTCGCGACTTGTACCAAATAAAAATGGAGCCGACCACAGAGCAGTCAACTGCTGCTCGACGTGGAACATCGGGTTGGAGTTTGCGAAGACCTCTGTCAACTTAGACATGACGTGTCACATACACATGTACACAAGTGTGTACACTTACGTTTCACAACCTCCTTATTTTATTAGGGTACATTGTCGCGACGTACCGGATGAACTCTGGACCCGACCACAGCGGCACGTCGGTGTGGTCGCCGCCCTCGGCGGGCCGCTTGGTGGCGTTGAGTGGCGCGGCCGGGGGCTCTACCAGGGGCGCGGCCTGGGGCGCAAAGCTTTGATGTAGCTTTGCGTCGGGGGAGGTGAGCTCGCGGCGCAGCAGGGAGTCGGGCAGGTACAGGTTCAACTCCTCTCGACGCACATACCGGACCTAACAAAACATCAAATGTTACTTACTGCTGACAAACTTATAGCAGAAGAAACGTAAATGGGGACTAATTGATTTGTTAATTAGGGAGGACAAATGTCTACTTATAAAGTTTAGAAGTAATAAATTACCTGTATAGCCATGCCGTCCTGAAGCATGTTGGTTTTCCTCCCGATATTGTTGACGTTCTCCGTGAACGTCTGTATGTGACACGTCATATCTAAGTTGACAGAGGTCTTCGCAAACTCCAACCCGATGAACCACATCGAGCAGCAGTTGGCTGGGGCCTGCCCAGTGGTTGCACTAACGGGTGCACAATTGTAGCACTTTGGGTGCACCCGCGCTAATGCCACTGGTTCGTCCTTTTGAAGTGATTCTGTAACAAATATACACCGTTAGATATATTGCCGTTAAGAGGCCGTGAGCTTGCATTACGAAGCTAAGTGAAATATATTAGTAGACTTATAGTGAATACTGACCGACTAGATGTCGAATCCTGCTCTCAACGAGCCCGCACCACTTCAGCTGGTCGTCCTGGCTGGCGGAGGAGGCCAGCACCACCGCGAAATGATTAAATGTATTAAAAAACGCGGGCATCTCGAACAAGCGCTGCCACCCACACCTGCCCTTCATGATCTCTTCAGTGGTGGCCAGACCTGTGCACCAATACAATATTAATTTCAAATACTTTCTAACAATTACACAGCAAAGGCAATCAAGATACTATGTAATGACATTGTATCTTGATTGAAATGTTACTTGGTGGATGATGTACTCACCAATCTTTAATTCTTCTACCATGACCGACCTGGTGGCAGCGGACACGTTGAATGTAGAATTTTGTTGTGGGTAGGCAGGAGTGATGATGGGCATCACGTGATCGCGATCCCCCTCGTTTACCTGAAACAAATTACATATACATAAGCATGTGCACAATTACGTACATCTGTAAATATTAACGAAGGAAAATAACTATTTTATTTAAGACATAATAATCATAGAACAATTTCCAATACTTACTCTAGGATCCCACACGGGGAACCCAAGGTCGATACAATCAGGTCGTTTCAGCAAAACTGGTTGTGGCCACTTCCACTGGCTGAACACCAGGAAGAACTTGTGCACCAATGTCGCAGGCAGTGCGTTGGGGTACAACTGACAGGTCCTGGCTACCAACATGGCCCATGACACGCCGCCCAGGTAGCCGAGTGCGTTTGAGTATATGCCGTGACCTGTTGAAAATAAATTTATTATTATAAACTTCTAAGACGAAGGTGCACAAAAAAAAATTAATTGAAATTATTTTAATCACTCACGTTTAGCCCATAGTTTGATGGCGCGCAGTGTGACCCTGAAGGTGTCCACATTAGGCACGAGGCGCAGGATCTCGTCCGTCACTCTGCAGCCGTTCAGCGAGCGCACACACTTCGGGTACATATGTTGCAGCAATACATCACCATCGAGGTCCAAGGAATCTGTGCACAAACATTATTCATTATTTCCTGAAGAGGTAGGTAATTTATGTAAACCAATAATAGACCAACCAATTTAACAGACTTTTCTTATAAAGTGTGAGAAGATTAAATATCTTACCTGGGATTTTCGGTAATGGCAGCCTAGCGAACAATACGTCCATCTCAATGCCGTGAAACGACATTTTGATGCACGGTACATAAGCAGCCTCCACCGCCCTCAAATCTTTAACCTGCAAAACAAACAGTAGATATGTTAGTTTTACTATAAAATGTAACATAGTATTGGAATACGTATCTATTACCCAACTGATCAAAGTCGAGCACGCTCAGGTGCGTTATACCAACCTCCGGATGTGACTGCAAGAGTTTATAAAATGCAGAGAAAAAACTTCTCCTCTGAATATGACGCGGCGCAACGCACAGCGCGTCGATGTCAGCGCCGCGGTTGTGAACCTGTTAAACGATACATATCCATGTGTTAATATAAATTCATTAAAACTAAAAACAATTAAAAATTCTTAAAAATAAACACTTACCCCTAGCCTGTATGAGCCAAAGCAAAGCACCTTTCCTCCCACAGAACTGGCTACAGCAGGAGGCATGTTCTGTCTAAGAGACTCCTCCCTGATCCACTTCAGAACGAGGTTGTGCAGGGCGCTGAGCACCGAGCACCGGTGCTGGGTCTCTTGTTCCGTCTCAAACACCCCAAACGAGCCGAGGAATTCTTGCAGTTGCCTGCTTTTCTCGGTATCCGCGAATGTTGGACCTGTACACATAATGTTAATTAATACAAAACCTTCACAAAATAATTGAAAATTTTACTAGAGAACAGGACAACTGAAGATAACTCACCATCGTAAGATATAGCGGAGGTCACCCCGAATGTATTCGTTCTCTGCTGGTCTATTCCTCCAGCAGGGAAGGGTTTGTGAGTATTCCTGTGCGAATACTTCGACATGTTTCTGAGATAATTTGTAGCTTCACTAACACCAGTCGTAGGCATCTCAGCGATCAATAAATAACTCAGGGTTAAGACGTCAGTATCTCCTGGTCACCAGACAACCGTACGTTACCGCGATCCGAGGTAAACTGACTGACCGATGTTCGCTCCTCGTCCTTTAAATAGCGAATATTCAGGTGATATAGCTGTAAATATCAGGTCATATTTACAGTTTTTTACACAATACAACTTTTGACCCTTTTGTCTATAATCCCTTTATCTTAATTGCTACCTTACTGGTGCGGCCTAAACCTATTGTATTATATGTATCGGTACCGTGGGATTTTTTATGTAAACAGACAAGTATTTATGTAAAGTTCGGGGAATGTGGTGCACAGCGACACTGCGTTGTGAAGTAATAATAATAATAAACTTCTTTACACACACAATTATGACACTTATTTTAGTTTTACAATTTATTTATAATCAAGTTTTTATGGCAATTAGAGGTGCTAGAGCCTGTGTTAGGCGTAAAATACCCGTATTACAAGTCTCCAGGTCCCCGCCCCACGGAAGAACAGGAAGCTTTACCTTATAAATGTGTGATGTATTACATTTTTATTTGCAAAGACATTAAAACCAAGCAATAGGAGAAAAAAGAACATAATGTATGAAATATAGAAGTCTTGTTATAATACGAGTATTCATTTATTTTATTTAATGAACACCTAGTTATAGTCACAGTGATCCGTTGGATGCAGGTCTATTCCAACCGGCTTATAAGTTATTAGAAGAAGATTAATTAAGCTTATCTAGAAGTTATAAGAGGAGGCCTATGTTCAGCAGTGGATATCTTATGGCTCATAATACGATGATAGGAATTATAAGCTTTTATTACTCAATACTAGACATTAAGTAACATCAATCTAACTTATAAACTAACACATTAGTGATCAGCGTGTCCTGTGACACGTAGGCCTCTTCCAGCTTTTTCCACTCGTCTCTGTTTAGCTGTTCTTGGTCACGTAGCCTCTCCGACTTTTCGTATATCGTCCATTCATCTTTTCTCCTGCCTGCCTCTTCTTCTTTTGACTCAATATGTCACGACTCGTTTTGGAATATGATGATAATACTACATACAACATATACCTAAGTATAAGTGGACTTAATCAATACTAACATTATAAAGCTGGAAAGTTTGTTTGTTTGAACGCGCAAATCTCAGGAACTCCTGGTTCGAATTGAAACTTTCTTTTTTTATTGAATAGCCCATTTATCGAGGAAGGCTTTAGGCTACATAATATCACGCTGTGTGCAATAGGAGCGAAGAAATAATGGAAAATGTGGAAATAATGGGGAAAATTATTCATCTTTGAGGGCTTCCGTTGCGTGCTCTGCGAGAACGGTTCAAGATACCAAGAAAATATGTATGATAGAATTATTCTTCTTGAAATGATCTAAAAAAATGTTCTCGGCAGTATGTGTTTATCTTTTAAGTTTTAACTCATTAGAACCGTTTTATGGTAATCAAATTTGGACGAAATTAATGCATTATTACGAATTATCTATTTGTTAGAGTTGTAGTAACATAATGATATTAATCTTTATTCAAATAAAGGTATTATTGATTAAACGTATTTAATTGTGAACAAAATTATCTTTAACATCACTTCATTTCAATGAACAACTTAGAAGGTCGAAGGGCAATATTGGCGGCGAGAAATAGTAGCGTGGACGAAATTAATGACCTAACTGGGGTTTAAAGAATTTATTTCTCATAAGAACAGATACATTGTTCACTTAAAATGAGATACAAAGGTTCCTTATCTTCTATGATACATATGACAAAATCCTCTAGTGCGGTAAGTATTTTAACGAGATTTACAATGTTTGTACATGTTCCTTAAGTTTCGTTTTGAATGCCTTAATGTTATCGCAGTTTTTTATGTCATCTGGTAATCTATTAAACAGATGTGCTCTCTCTCAAACAAAAGCGTATTTTTCCCATAGTTTGTTCGTGCCATCCCTAGTTCGAGTTTATGTTTGTTTCTTAAGTTGTGTGTGATGTTTTTTCTATGTAACTGTATGTTTGATTGAATGGCATAAGCGGTGATATTTTTTATGAGAACACATGTGCAATATGTGTATAGTTGTGTTAGATTGAATACTTCACACAGACTTTACCTACACATCTATTGATAATATCATCAATCATGAAGATGCGGTCCATTACCCACAGGAGTTTCTTAATTCTTTGAACCGAAGTGGCCTTCCCTCATATTCCCTCCAGTTAAAATACACTTCCGGGCACCTAAATCGAGCCACCTTGTTTTTTTTGGTTTGGAGTACTTGTAAAAAATCTATGTAGAAGGAAAATGTTTTGATGCAGTTTTGGAGCTGGTTTAATCAACATTCATTTAGAATGCCACTGTTCTAAATTTGAACTACAGTTTATTAAAAAAAGTCGAGTTACGTTAAAACAAGTCCATTTTTGCTTTTTTCATAGAAATTATTTTTATTACATTAAAAGAAATATTTATTTAGTAACTTGTATTGCCTCCCCGTGCATTTATGACAGCTCTCATACGGTTTGACATAGAATTAATCAATGTCGTTATGACATGTTGAGGAATGGCCTCCCATTCTTCCAAAATTACATTTTTGAGCTCCTCCGTGGTTTGCGGGGCAGGATGATGAGCTCGAACACGCCTCTTCAGCTCATCCCATAGATGCTCTATAGGATTCATATCAGGACTTCGCGCTGGCTATCTCATAACATTGATACTAATGTCATTTAAGTACTGCCTGACGATTCTCGCAGTATGGGCCCTTGCATTATCATGCATTAAAACAAAATCTTGGCCAATAAATCCAGCATATTGCATCACGTGGTTCTCTAAACATTGGCGAATGTATCTATTGCCATCTAGGGGCGGCAGTCGTGGTCCCGTTACTACCTCTAGTTCAGTTTTGCCTTCCATACAGATTCCTCCCCAGACAGTCCATGATCCTCCACCATATCTCAATACTCAATACGTTTATTGCACTCCATATGTTTAAAAGGTGTTTCATAATAATATAGTACAGTATGGACCCTGTAGGGCACGGCAACGTAGAAGAGAGGAGGACGCTAATTTTATTTAGATTATGTATCGCAGATTTTTTATTACTAGTTATAAGTAGTTGTTTTGGTCAATTTATTTTATCTCACTCTTTCGTCAATACAACATTGCGCGAAACGCTCGTTCTCTCTTCAGTACACCTTACTCCTTCCGTCATTACCGTATAGCATTATCTTGGACTCATCTGTGAAGAGAACCTGGCTCCATTGATGTCGAGTCCAATTTAGATGTTCGCGTGCAAACTCTAAACGGGCTATTCGGTGTGCTCGTGTCAATTTGGGTCTATTGGCTGGCTTATGGGGCTTTAAACCACGTTCATTGAGTCGCCTTCTAGCGGTCCGAGCACTTACAGCCACTTCGTGAAAGTCCCTGAGCTGTTCTTGTATTTGAACAGAGGTAAGGCGTCGATTGCGTAAGCTGGTAGTGACAATGTATTGATCTTGTCTCGCCGTTGTCACCCGGTAACGAGGTGCTCCTGTTCGATGAACGAAGCCGCCAGTCTCCAGGTATCGATGGTACAGTCTTTGGACAGCGGAACGACTTATGAGAAGTTGTGAACTAACATCTCGCAGACTTAGCCCAGATTGAAGAAGTGCTACAGCTTGCGCGGCTACTTCAGGTGAAGTATCCATAATTTTATAGCCAAAAGCGATTCAAATTAGAGAAAAAAAAGACTAAACTAAACTTTGGTTAACAAAAATAGCGAAAATTCAAACAAAATCGAAATTAAATTGCTTCAAAAGTAACTTTCTACAGCCATTATTTTTTTCAAATCAGTGACCAAGCTCGGCTTTTGTTCTTTATTTTAAAATCTTAAATTCAAATCTGGAAGAATACATACGGGAAAGACGATGAAATATGCCAGCATTGAAAATGCATAAAAACTTTTTTGTTATATTGCATATATTTTGTGTAATGGGCTTTTAGGCCCGGGAATGTAATGTGGCTCGATTCAAGTGTCCGGAAGTGTAGGTGCCCCAATAATTTTACTTAAAAATCTTAATCTACCAAATTTATGTAACGGGACCCGACTTCAAATCAAATTTCTTCGCAATTAAGTGACCGTTGCAATAGTTATGAGTGGTTCAACAATTGGTCAAACAGTGCTTATACCTCGCATCCCAATGATTCCAAATGATTTTCCTTTTGAATTTTAAAAGAATTCAATTTCCTGTTAAGCTATCTTTCGCTGTTACAATTAATAAATTACAGCATTGCTTTTTACCCAGCCAGCTATATGTCTCGTTGTCAAGATTGGGTTGCGGAGAAAACCAATATGTTCTTCTGCCACAAAAAATAAAACTAAAAATATAATTTACGCAGAAGTACTTTAAAATAATTATGTTCTTTTAAAAACTTAAAACTAGTTAATTTGTCTAAGAAAATAACAGAAATTTCTGCGGACAAAGTCGTGGGTAACAGCTAGTGACTGATATTTTCTCCGTCTACCATTAGGAGGTATTTTGCCTGTATCTGCAATATTACCGCAGTGGTCTTCATGGACAATCGCTATTTTCTCAAAAACACCAACTCAGTTACAGAATTAAAATTTAGTGACTGATAAGGTGCGCTATCTCCCTCTCTCATATACCCGTCTCGCTCACTCACATTGTAAACTACACCTTGCTTACGCGCCGCTACTATTCAATATATTCCAGGAATCATACAGACTGTGGCCAACACTAATGGGACGTTAATTACATTTTACTTATTTTTATTTCCACACCTTCTGAAGGTAAATTGTGAAAATAAGAAAACCTTCATAGAACTAGTATTCTAAGGGAAATCAATGATTTCAATTAAATTTTGGTATGGCGTAGTCTAACGTAGCACCGTGTAGCCGTGTAATATGGCGTAGCAAACGTTCGTAGCAGTTTAATATACCACGGCGTAGCG